AAGTGGTGGGGAGTCTGTTCCCAAAAGTGGACATGGGATAGAAATACCTACAACATGTACTTCCGGTCCTGTGTGGCGATAACGAATTTCCACATCAGTTGCAACCCACTACATCGAGATGATACTGTGTTTCACAGGCGCCATGAATCACGCTTGATCCAAATCGGGGCAGAGGAAGAATAAGCGAGGAAGAGAAAACGCGAAGAATACCGTGACAACCGGCGTGCTCGGCTTGAAATCACACCTCGGCGGATAAGACGATGCCGAAGCGTTTGTAGTCAACGGGCGAGCAATAATGGGAGCCAAGCTGCTAGTCCATGCAGCACAGAGTATGGATCAAGCTAAGTTTTGTTGCATAGCTCACTACTTAGTACTCTACCGTTGGAAGCCTGAATGCGCTGTAGACATGCAAAATTCCAAATTCATATAGTAAATTCACAAATCAACGTTTACATTTTTCATTGAGTTGGTATGAATCATCTGGTTGCCACAATTCTACGTCATATAAGTAAAGTCAGCAGTGCTTTGTATCTCGTCGCGTACTTCGTAATTGATTTTGGGTTCTAATGTAATAAGGAGTCTCGTCTTGGACTTTCTGGTCGGTTTTACCGATACAACTTAAACATTTAATGAGACCGCCCCAAACAAAATGAGTCTTAGCTAAATTTATTCCAGCTGCGATAATTGCCTTAAAGAGTCAGTTCAACTATCGTCCCCAAATCAGACGATTTTCCAGGAGACCGGTTCAAAGATTTGTAGCCAATCGTATGTAAAACTTAGGCTGCACGCACTAATTTCAGCTTGGAAATACGACTAAATCGACAAACACATGCAATGGCTTCAACCGCTCTAAGCAACACCAATAGGGATCTGGAACGCGATGTACCCGCAAACAGTATCGCCAGTGATGCCAGTGACACCAGCGACTGGGATACGGTGTCTGCCCAAGACAGCAGCAGCGACGGCGAGACATCCAGCCCAGAGCCTTTGGTAACAGAGAGAACAAAGCTAATACTAGCTACAGCATGCTGTTCAGACCTTTGCCTCGGCCGAAACGTAGAAGCTTCAACTGCGTTCCTGTACGGCTACATAGGAATGAGCAAAGAGAACCAGCGAGTGTGTTTAATGACTTCCTTGGGAATAATTTCTTCTTATCAGCTTCAAAAGGTGTCAAAGAGCGCGAGAGGTATGACTACATTGCTCCTATGGCGGGTCGAGTGTGCAAAAAGGCATTTCAAGCAGCATTCGGGGTTAGCAATAACGCCCTAACCAAGTAAGTGATCAATAACTTTCTGCAACTGGTAAAGTCACTATTTTCTTTTCCTCAGATTTCGTGGAATAACCTCAAGTAATAAAGTCAATGTACCTGATCACAAACACAGCGGTAATAAACTCGCCCAAGTTATTAACCGTGATGATATCGCAAGTTGGTTCCGTGGATATGCCAATGAAGTTGTAGATCTTTACGGCGAAAACCCGATGAGGTATTAAGCGCTGGCGACATAGCTGAATTTTGGACTTCAATCCAGACAGCCACCCCTCCCCTCGTCAATAAGAAAAAAGTTGTGGACCTGCACAACAATATACTGCAATATGTTCCGCCTCAATATCGTGATGACCCCCTATACTTAGTTCCTAGTGAGCAGGAAATTCAAACAATTCGCGTCAAGAAGAGTACACGACGAAACAGGAATGATAAACAGTTTTGCTAAAATGTAGCAATAAATATAAACCGTACACTAAAATGAGTAAAATTAAATAAAAGGAAGGATTTGAACGCTAATCCGTGATTACGACTGTAATTTTAGGCAAGTATACTACCTGTTGCTGTGATTTACAGAATGTTACCCTATGAATTTGACTATTGTAATGGCATATTAGGAATCTATACACCAAGAGCCATCAGGACATGTACAATTTAAAAAAAGTACTTTTTCGTCAAGATAGAGAGTTGATTTCTGAAAGGAGGGCTTAAAATAAAGCTTTGTGTACACAGTTCAATTTACGTACTTAAGAGCTAATACTCATTTTGTTTGGGGCAAATGTACCGGTACCGGTATGTTGTGAGAGCACGCTTCTGTCTTGAATTGGCAAATTTGGTCGGAATTCACAATACCTAAATTTTGTAGAATAGAAATGGTCAACGTATCTTGAACGGTCGCCGTTGGTCGTGGCCATCAGAACGGCTCATCAGGACGGTCGCGCATGGCCGGAAAGAAGAGCAATGCCATGGCCGCGAAATACCCGCGCGCTAACGCACTGGTGGGGTCGGTGCTCAACAAATACCACAACGGCTCGGAGCGCGCCGTAGACTCGTTCGTGATCCGCACGCTAAAGGAGCACGAGCCCAGGCTATTGGGCATTCAGTGTTTCCTGGATCAGGTAATCCCAGAAAATGAGAGGAGCTTGGGTTTAAAAACTGAAGCCAACTGGTATACTCAGGGGCCGGCGGAGAACAGTCGACGTATCAAGGACGAGTCCCATGTGGCACAACACACCCCGTGTGCATCGGGCGTGTTCGGGGTGCTCTCGGTATGTGGAGGGCTTTTCGGGCCAGGTGCCATCATGTGAGTGGCTGAGAGCTTAAGCTGTATGTGCAATGGAGACTAATTTGCTACTGCTGCTGCTTCTCTTAGGCGACAATGGGATGCGTGCAGTGGAACGGAGGGAGAACCCGACGACAGAGAATCGGCGATGACCGAGTATGTGGCGACAGTGGATAAAATACTCCCGGGGTGGGACGAAGCCGTGCCGAATCATCCTGTAGCGAGTCCAGACAGATTCTGGGAGGATGACGCCGCTGCAGCTCAGTGTCCGCTGTGCTCTGTCGTCTTCTCGGTGCGTGAACGTCGCCACCATTGTCGCTTGTGCTTCTCGATCTTCTGTGCCGGCTGCTGCAGTCACGTTTTGGAGATCGCGTTGTGTCCTGGGGCGCCACGGCGGTCGCAACGGGTGTGTACGCCGTGTTTCCAGGCGGAATACCGAGCTCAGCAGCTTCGTAAAGCGAGGAAGATTAGTCGAGAAAATCAAGAGCTAGAGCAGAGGATTCGTGCAGTCCTCGCTACAGCTCGGCATTCATTTGCTGCTAAGCAGGAGGAGGAGCAGAAGCTACGGTCATTGGCCGTCGACGCTGGCTGCGACGTACAGGCTCTAGATGAAGCTATTCAGAAACAACACGGTGGCTCCCCTATCGGGTCTGCTCCAATGGAGATACCGATCCCGCCAGCAGCACACCGGTTTGCGTCTGCTCACACCTCAGTGGAAGCCTCGAACCAGCTCGCATTGGCACATCGACAGCTAACGATGAGCTTTAAAATGGCCCAGTGTCGCGCACACAAAGTTCTCGACAAAATGGACGCGACAATCGCAGCGTTGCAAGGCGCTTTGATCGCTCAAAGAGCGCCTAGCAACAAGTCGCCTCCCTCTGGCCACTCCGAAGACAACGGATGGAGGGTGATGATTCGACACACAGATACCTTCTTGACACCAACCGATCGAGAGGCGCTCCAAGTTGTTTCGGAGGATCTTTGCAGTCAGCTACGTTCCCGGAGCAGTAGTCCAGTTGACTGCACTTCTTCCGTAGATCCGAGCATCGCAGTGCTTTGGTTGACTGAATGCCTGAAGGACAATCGGACGCGAACTTTCGTTGCGGATTTGGCTGAAGCCGTGCAAGCACTATTGGATGCATCCTCGGGCTCGGATACTGAAGACTCGGACGCGAACGAAGCACCGGTGTCTATGTCACGCCCCTCGTGGGAGAAGCCTGCTCAAACGGATCCACCTACGAGTGTTCCATCGGTCCCATCGTCGATGGAACTGGAGAAGGCGTACGAGCTAATTCGCTCTCAGTGCGAGACAGGCCCAGCGTCGGAATGGGACGAACAGATCCGTCTGGATGTAACTCGAACCTTTGGCATTTCAGCTCGCCGGCAGCATCGCAAGAGCGTAGATCCAAAGTCGCGTACTGTATGCAACTCAGCTGGGATCGCTATCCCTGTGGAGAAACGACGATCTGCTCTTGAAAATGTTCTTCGAGCTTGCGCGAGTGTGGACACAGAGGTGGGGTACTGCCAAGGCATGGATCATGTTGCAGCGCTAGTACTTGCTGTGAGCGACTGGAACGAGGCACGCGCCTTCTGGTTACTCGTCAGCATACTGGCATCACCACGATTCGAACTCGAGAGGCTCTATGGACCGGGACTGCCCCACCTCAGTCGGCGTTGCTTTCAGGTAAGATATCCTTTCACAAAATTGATATTTTATCACGAGACAATTAATAGTATTGTTATGTGCAGTTGGATCGTCTTCTAGGAATTCATCTTCGCCCGCTATGTGAACACTTTCACACTATCGACTTTCCCATCAGTATCGTCGCCACGGGGTATGTTCGACCTCTTTTTTAATGGGATAGAGACTCAGATACTAAGTTGTTGTCACCACTTTTCATTCTTCTGTCAGGTGGTTTATGACGCTCTTCACGAACATGGAAGCACTCTCGTACCATGTGGTGGTGCAGGTCTTCGAGGGCTTTATTTTCAAGGGGTGGAAGCAGCTTTTTCAAACAGCCCTTGCCATCCTACAAGACCTTCAAGGTCCCATACTCGCCAGCAGCTTTGACGAGATTCCTCGACTCTTCTTTGACATTCAGGAGTATGCGGTGAGTTTCTATGACTATCTTTGTGATCACGTCATCGTAACTCACCACATCTTGTTACTCTGTGACGTGGCAGCCTCGGCTTATGGACGCGGAGTACGTCCTCGCGCAATCAGCAAAGTTCGAGGTGTCTGATCGCCTGCTGAAGCGCCTGGCAAAGGAATTCGAACAGATAGCGGAAGTACCAACGACGAAATCGTTAGCAGCTAGAAGAGACGAGTTGAGGAGTGAAAAACTCGCAGAGCCTCGCAACAGCAGTCAATCTCCTCAGAGAACCAGAGCATTATCACCGCCGTCGTATCCGCGACCCGAAGACCCAAAGACGATGCTCCCACTCAAGAGAGACAGCGTTTCCAAGGCGCCCTCTTCCACAAGACACGCATCACCGTTGCAAATGCAATCCACTGCTGTTTGAAGCCAAAGTCAGTGATCTGCGTACAGTACAATAGTGAAGAATACGGCATACATTGACAGTGCTAGCTGCATAGCCTAAGCCTACAGCTTTCGTAGGTTCAAAAAGCCTTGCGCTTCCTCATCGATATCGTACGAAATCGCCACTAATGCTCTCGCCGGTAGCGTGAGAAACACTTCCACCGATAGGCCCGCAACGATACCGGCACTGTGGTGAAGACGCTGGGCACCACACGACGTCGCTTCCCTGCCTGGTGCTGTGCGCTTGAGCACCGCTGGCTCTCCGTTCACAAGCACTTGGATAGCGGGGCTGTAGTTGGTAAAGAACGCCGCTTGAAGATGATACAGCCCAGGCAGTAGTATCCTCACTTCGTCAGAGTGAAGTTGCCAAAGAAAAATATCGGCGTTTGTGTTGACAACCTGAGAGCTCCACTGAATCGTTTGCTTTGCGCTGAGATGGCCATCATTCCAGACCTGACACACCGCAGTTTTTGTCAGTCATGATTTCCCTTTACAAGTGGGACAAGCCAGTCCTTACGTAGCGGGCCTGGTAGATCTCACTGTGGAGTTGCCGTGTGATCGCTTGCATCTGTGGGTTCAACTTTTGTAATTGATTTTTGGTCGCAAACTTATCCACCGCAGCCTTTTCCACTTGCTTCCTTACCTCTTGCAGTCCGTTCATCGTCGACTGGGCGTCCAGCAGTTCTTGCACATCCGCAACAGTCATTTTCTCATTCACTTCCCGTTGCAGCGCACTTAACTCCTGCTGTATCGACTCGGCCACAGACAATATATTGTGCTGGAAGAGCAACTTAAGTAAGGGACAAAAAAAAGTTTCAACAAAAGGTAGTCCGCTTTACCACATTGTGTTTGACCTGCACGAGCTCAAACGCGGCAGCCTTCGATTCACTGAGCTGCCGCAGCCGGTCCACATCGCCCGTCGTGCTTTCTTGATGTCGCTGGATCCAGTCCATCAGAGAGGACGCAACCTCTTCTACTCTTGTACTGTCAGCCTTCTCTGCAAGTTGCTTCCATGCATCCACTGAATGTCAAGCGATGAAGAGTCAGCATACCTATTACCCAGTTGCAGATTTGCACAACGCCACACGGGAGACGCACTCGCATCCATCTTCCGACTGAGGAGCTTTGCGATCTCGCTCTTACAAAGCTTCTTTCCAACTGCCATTGTGGACTCCTGTCGCATTGCAGCAATCTGACAATCAATTCGAGCCTCTGCTTCTTCAACGTCCAACGAAACACGCGCCAGGTCTTTTCGGAAAGCATCTGACACGTTAAAACGCGAATCTGGTTTAGTCTCGCACTGGCATTGGACTCGCCGTGCTCACCGTATCTCCTTCGTGACTGTTTTCTGGTGTCGCCTTGGATATTACTTTCATGACGGCGGCGACTTGACCTTGTCTCCTCGCTTCGCTCTCCATCAGCTTTGATTCCAGATCCTCCACTTTCTGGACAATTTCTAGTCGCATCTGGACCATTTTGTCTTCACCCAGCATGCGCATTGACTTGAGCTCCTGCTCCTGATCTCTAAGCTGCTGCCGCGTGTTTTGGACGAACTCTCCCAACCTCTTGTCTATCTTGAAGCACACGTTCTGCTCCATCAGCACAAATTTCTAATCGGCTTCAGTGAGCCCCTTCATCCGTAAGTATTATAGTTGTCTCTTTAAGAATCCGCAACAGACCTTGTTAGCCTCGTCCTGGAATTGCTGATCTTTGGTCTGTAAGTCCGTTTTAGACTGCTGTATCATTGAATGCTGCTGTTCCACCTTGGCAGAAAGCTGCGCGGTGTACAGCGTTATTAGCGGCAGGCCCGACTTCAGGATTTAATTTGCTTATCATCTGGCTTACCTCTTTTCGCAGCCTCGCCATTCGGCGTTTGGCATCCGTATAAACGCGCTCTTCTAATGCTGCAGCGTGATCGTATGAGGACGTGCGCTCCAATTCCTCAACGCGATGCTCTAGTGTGTCTATCAGCTGCGTCTGCTGCGAGAGCACGCGCGCCACAAGACCAAACGACTCAGGTAGCACAGACTGAACATTCCGCCACTTGCGCTCATTCTGCAGAGTCATCGTAAGTGCATGAAGGCCCTCCTGTAGCGTCATACCACTGTTCAGATTTTCTCTTTTTGAGCGTGACGTTTCATGATCCGTTCTAAACCCAGATCTATTTAGTTTATCTTAATTTTAAAATAAAACTATTACTTTTCTAATACCGGAACAATTTTAATTGCTACTTATATTAATACTGTAAAAAATGTAGTACTTCAAGTATATGGCAATCTCTTGAGCGAATACTACGTTGTAGAACACTATTAATAATGCCGTGCTAAGCCCGGTGAAGCTCTGGATATTACGGTATTTTTAAAAAGTAATAACTAGTGCGGAATGAAGGACTTTTTAGAAGAAAAAAAAGAGAAGAATTGCAATTTAACTAAGACTTCCAGTCTAGAAGAAGAAATCAACAAACCGAGCGAGAATGATAGTCATTCATTTGAGTGGCTATCCCCGAGCTTCGAAAACTTGAAAACAAGTTGGTACCCTAACTTAAGAAAGTACTGTATTTTAAAGAAGACATGTAACAATTTTTCCACAGCACTATGGTTTCTTAATCTGTTCGATCCTCAATTGCATGAAGTCCAGCGCATCACGACATGGAGTAAAATACTCCAAAAACTCTTTCGTAAAGAGGACCATGAGATAAAACTGCAATAACGTTTTCACTCGAGTGACGGCGACATAGAAAGATGAGCGCTGAGGAATCCTGCGAGTCGAATGACGAAGCGGAGCACGAATCATTTTCTCTTCTGTCAGTCCTTGGCACTTCTCAGTGGTCAATGAGTACACCAACACAAGAGAAACTTGGCAAATTGAGATAGAGATTGAGCGATCTGGCAGATGAATTCGGACACCACATTCTGTCCTTTTGCATACAGGAACGACACCAAGTGGTAAAGTCGACACAAATGACTGAGAAGCGCCATCCCTTCCTTTGAAATACCCGACGTGGTAATTCGTTTTCTTCCTCTGATGTGTGTGATGTGTGTGATGTGTGCGTGTGTGTGCGTGTGTGTGAGTGTGTGTGTGTGAGAGGGAGGGGGGGGCTTGCTTACGCGTTACGTCGTAAGGTTGATGTGTATGAGGATACAGTTTAGCCAAAATGAAGAAGCCGCGGTCGAACGTGCGTTGTCGTCCGACCTTGCTGTCTTGACGCGATACGGCCTCGATAGGAATCCTATTAGTATTCATCCATTCCCTTCTTTAAATCATGTAGCCTTCATGTACTGTACCACCCACCATCGGTGGTATCGTATATTGGAGCAACATCCACCTAAAACCAGATAGCGTGAATGTTGACCCAGGCGGCTTGGAACGACATTCACCAGTGCTTTTTTATGCTTTACCGTAGTTAATTAGGTATTCCGTCCTTTTAGCCTATCACTTGCAAGCCATTATACTTTTAATAATTACAAATGTAGGACCCTAATATTTTATAGAGGATCGTCGACGGTTTAAACTCTGGATATGAATATCCAGAGAATTGCTGAGATTGCCGTAAGGCAATGTTTTTTATAAGTAGTGCATTGCAGGTGTCAGGCAGGGAAAAGCTGAAATCTCACTGCGACGGGGACATCGCGTGGAATCTTAGCACTACATATACTAGATTTCGAGATGGAAACGGTATTCATAATATTGCTCGCTTTCTATCTGTACACAAGCTTCTAGCGTTCTTCGATACAATCCACCGCCAACAAACAATTCTCGTCCCACC